TTCCCGAGGTCAAGAATTTGGGACTGGGGTACTGCAGATTTTGGGACTGGGGTACTGCAGTTCTAGTTTTCCCCGCAGTTTTCCTTGGACTACGGAAAGGAGTGGGGCAGGTAGGACTCACCCTCAGGCCAGTGCAAGGCTCTCCAGGCGCGGCCATTGGATGCCCTCTGTCCGTCAACCCTCCTTCTGTCTGTCCCAGTCCGTCAAACCTCCGTCTGTCTGTTCCAGATCAGCCCTCAGAGCCCAACTCCAGGCTGGGGAAGAGGCGGGACTGGGCGGGGGGGACACAGAATGGAGCTGGAAAGCAGAGGCCCGGGGCAAAGTTCAGCAACTCTCTGAGGTGGACCTGGTGCTTGGCAAAGTGATTCTGGAACCCTCTCCCCACCAGAAAAGTGCCAGGATACCTGCATGCTTCCTTTCTGTGGGAAGTTCCTTCCAAACTTCCTGCACACTTTGGGCCAAGCAAGCCATTGCAGGAGAGTGTCCTGAGGAAGGACAACAGAGTTAGTAGCCTAGGCATCCAGCAACTGGGGACAAATGTGGTCTAGATGCCGGTGCTGGGAAGAATGTAGAGTCTTACTTTTAAAAATAATTATTTATGCCAGGCGGTGGTGGCTCACACCTTCAATTCCAGCACTCGGAAGGCAGAGACAGGAGGATCTCTGTGAATTTGAGGCCAGCCTGGTCTACAGAACAAGTTTCAGGACGGTCAGAGCTGTTACACAGAGGAAACCCTGTCTCGAAAATAAACAAACAAACAAACAAATAAATAAATAAATATTTACTTAAGTGTGTGAATTCATTTGAGAGAATAAATTCAAAGGAAAATCAACAGGGCAAATCTCAAGCGTATGAGAGAAAAAAACCCTCAAAATGTTTCTATACAAGTGTTAGAGTTGGAATCAAAATAAAATGTAAATGTCTTCTTTAATATTACTATAAACTTAAAAAATATTTTTTATTAAGAAAACAATATCATTTAGGCAGTTGGCATATGCCTTTAATCCCAGCACTTAGGAGGCAGAATCAGGGGGACCTCAGTGAGTCTGCTGCTAGCCAGGGTTACTTAGTTAGATGCTGTCTCAAAAACAACAACAATATCATTTCTGATAGAAAAACCATGCCAACAGAAATATGTCCTTTATAATAATAAAGAAGCCAAATCACAGATTCTATTTCATCCTGTGCATGTGTGTGGGTGTGTTGACACAAAAACCATAGCTCTTATATTAAACAGAGTAAGAGACAGTTTATTCTGAAGCCATTCTGAGGCATGGCCCAGGAACATAGATTTGGATCACCCCAAATCCCATCTTCTGTTATGTGGGACAATCGAAGAAAGAGGGTCACTCCAAGATGAATTTAGCCCTTATAGGCAGCAGGGAGATCCAGCCTAGATGAGCTGAACCTCAAAAAGCTGTGCAGAAGCGTATTTATTGACTATTACACAAAACTGTTAGAGTAAGACACATTCCTCACACCAAACATCACACCCTGCAGCGTTAGTCCTTGTTGTGCCCTGTTTGCGGTACCCAATGATGCCAGATGTTCCAGGGCCCTCTTGTGACTAAAGCCATAGCTCCATAGATAACATAAAACTATCACTGTTTCTACAGTGATTTCTTCAAGGTCTAAATACCTCCAACAACAAATATTTCTTTCTGATGCTTGCCCTAGATACAATGATGCTACTAGATTTTCACTACAATTGTCCAACATGGATGAGGTTTCACAAAGTCTTTATAATTTCATGGAACAGAGAAAGCCATAAATCAAGTTTATAATACATTGATGATCAGAGAGGTGGGTACAGCAAGATGGAGTAGGTTTTACTACAGCCCCAAGACACTAATGATGTTCTTAGTTTTTGCATTGGTTGAAGCCAGTTGTCTACTTCTGCCCATTTTAGATTCAATAGATTCTAAAAGATTTTTCTCTATTGTTGTAATATGTTAGCTTCAGCACAGGTAGGGGGAGGACACAGGGGATGGATGGTATGGCTGTTTCAGAGGGCCAGAACTAGCCCAAGATAACTGGCCCAAGGTCATTAGCCTCTGGGCCTGCAACATTCCTGTCTCTCCCCTGCTGAAATTCTAAGCAGCCAATCCCAGCAGAAGCAGGTTCTTTTCAGTTTTTGTTCACAGGCACACACATGCATGTTGAGGTCAGAGGGCAGCTTCGAGTACCTTCCTTAGGAAGGTGGTCCAAAGCCTCTCAGCATCCTGAAGCTTACCCATTAGACTAGACAGTGAGCTGCAGAGGCCTTCCTGTGTCCACCTCCCCAGTGCTGGCCACCACATTTGGCATGGTTTGGTGATCAAACTCAGATCCTTAGGATTGCAAGGCAAACACTTTACTGACTGTGCCATCAGCCCAGGACATCCCCCGCCTCCCACAACCCCTTACCCTCTGGTTACACTGGTACTTCCTGTGTAACCCAAGCAGGGCTTGAACTCATGGAAGTCCTCCTGCCTCAGCCTCATGAATACAGGAATTGATTATAAGCCACATTCAACTTGCATGTGTGTCTATGCTGGTGAGCAATTTTAGGGCTTTGCGAGGCATGCGTTGACCTATTTTCCCAGCCCTTTTAAATATTATACCCCCCCTCTCTCTCTCATTAAAGGTGTGTGCCACCACCACCCAGCTTAAATATTTTACATTTTGTTTTCAGACAGTGTCTAAAGATGTCCAGGTTGATTATAAACTTGCTCTGTACCTCAGGCAGGCCTTGAACTTGTCTGGCTAAAATGCGATTTTATTATAGAATTAAGCACTGGTGAAAGAGTGGGAGGGGGAATGTAGGAAGGAGAACCAAATAATACATTTCTAAAGGGTATTTTGAAATTACATCTGACTTGTGAAATACATAAGTCAAAAAGATTTGGGACTTATTGACTACGTCAATCAACAAAAAAGAATCAGTTGTGACAGTGAATCCTGCTTGGGAGGAGCCTTGCA